GCATGCTGGGCACTATTTAAAGATATTTCTTTACATTAATCCTCTTAACCTTCAGAACAGCCTTCTAAAAGAGGAACAATTACTATCTCAATGTTACAGATAAGGAAACAGGCTCAGAGAGGTTGACTGCCTAAGCATGTAGCTGTTGTAGAAACTGCTGTTTCACAGTTCTTGATAGTACAGGCCTGTAATCCCAATAATCAGGAGCTCTTACAAGCCAGATGGTGAGACCCTGTCTCAAAAAACAAAACAAAACATCTGGGATTCAATCAGAGAAGTCTTTTGGTTGGTTGGGGTTTTTTTGTTTTTGTTTTAGGAGTGTTTTTGGTTTTTTTGTTCTATTCTGGTTTGGTTTGACTTGTTTTTGTTTCTTTGGGTTTGGTGTTGTTTTTTGAGATGGGATTTTGCTTTGTAGTTCAGGCTGCCCTTGAACTCTTTGTGTAGCTCAGCCTGGTCTTTGCCCTTTTACATCAGCCTCCCAAGTGCTGGGAGTACTGGCATGGGCCGTCACTCCCAGCAGGCACTATAGTACCTTAACTATTAACTATAAAAGGAAGGAAAAAGTGGTCTGACAGCTGTCTGGTGACAAACAAGGACAAGACTTTTGGTGTTCTCCTGCCTGACCTAAAAAGTGTCACAGAATGCCAAAACTTCAACCAAGGTCACCTGCAACTGACAGAAAGAATCAAAATCAAGGCAACTCTAAAGAACACTTCAGGGCCAGCCAGATAACTCAGCAGGATAAAGGGCCTGCTTAGGTAGAGAGCAGCAGCTAGGGTTCGACCCCAGCTTACCATGCAACCCTGCCCCTGGGGCGTGCTGAGAAGGTTGAGACTGGGCATGGAGGCACACGCCTGTAATCCCAGCACTTGGGAGGCTAAAAACAGGAGAATCACTAGGAGTCCAATCTATGTAGTGAGACCCTGTAGGCTCTGTACCAAATACATTTAAAAAAAAAAAACCTTCAGATGGGCGTTGTAATTCCAGCGTTCAAGAGATGAAAACAGGAGAATCACTGTGAGTTTGAGGCCAGCCTGGGCTACATAATGAGACCCTGTCTCAAAAATAAAATTCAATTAAAGACAATTAAAGAAAGAAAGAAAGAAAAAAAACTTAAGAAACAATGTTATTTTAGCTGCCTTTGGAGAATGATGACTTTATTGATTAATGAATTAAGTACTTATGAAATTATTAAGAAATAAGCAATAAATATTTCTAAATCCATTTATAGATTTGAAACATTTTAGTTGCATTAGGAAAAAGATGCATTTTTTTTGTGTATTTTTTTTGAAGGAAGGATCTACAGGGTGTTCAGGGTCTCACTACTAAATCAGACTTGTAGTGATTCACTTGTTTACAGCTTCCCAAGAGCTGGGATTACAGGTGCACCCCAGGGCCACTGCACCCAGTCTCCATTGCCATCTCAGCATGCCCCAGGGACAGTGCCGGCAAAAATATACATTTCCAAAACAAACTATATTAGGGGCCAGGGATGTAGCTCAGCATTACAGCACCTGCCTGTCAAGGTGAGGCCCTTAATTAGATTCTCAGTATCAATAGATAGATAGATAGATAGATAGATAGATAGATAGATAGATTTCCTGTCAAAAGCCTAAACTTAATAAGATTAATGAACTATGCATACTTATCTTGAGTCACTATCTCAGTTACTTTTCTCTCATTGCTGGGACAAAATACCTGACACCCAAAATTAACGAAGGAAAAATCACAGTGCATGAAAGTTTCCTTCCACACTTGGCTGGCTCCAAGGCAGGGTGGCACGTGGAAGAGGGCAGAAGTTCACAGCAAAACAGCAAGAGCAAAAAGGCCGGAGCAGCAACAGCAGCAGCAGAGGGCAAGCCTCTCTCCCTTCCTTATAAGCGTTCAGGCTATCCACCCCAGGGTGGGTATAAGCACTCAGCATTCGACCATGATTTAATCACAGCCTCTAGAAGTCCACCTCATGAAGGAATGAGGCTTTGGGGGGACTAGTAAACACAAACCCTAACAGTCACTAAAATGTGATTTATGAATAAAATATTCAGGGCATGTACTCAAGCACATGTACTCAACACAATGGTACTTGATGTCAATACAGAAGTTCAACACAGCATACTTCAGCATGTGTTCTATCAGTCAGAACTTAGTGATCTAGCCAAACTAACACAGGAAGTTGAAAAGTAAAGTGTTTGGAAGAACATAACCAAGCCTTGGATAAAGAAAGGAGAGGTCTTGTTTATTTCAATAAATGGAGTGTTATGAAAATGGATCTACTTGAGATATATCTTGAAAGATGTGTAGGGCTTTTATATGAAGAGCCTTTCCTCCAGGAGGTAAAAGAAGCAACTCAATCATGATAGGTAACAATTTCTGCAACAGCTTATCAGCATAATGTGTTTTAAAAGAACTTTGGGCATTCTTTAGGAATACTGTGGATCAAATGAAGGTGTTAAATTTTATACTTGGCAGATGGAAGTATTACCCATACAATAATCAATTAATTTTTTTCCAGTTTGATGCTAACTACACTCTATTTTTTAATTTACATCTTAGAGAAGAGTCTGCAGGGTGTTCAGGGTCTCACTACTAGATCAGACTCATAGTGATCTGCTTGTTTACAGCCTCCCAAGAGCTGGGATTACAGGCATGCTACCACACCCAGTCTCAGTTGCTGTCTCAGCACACCCCTGGGGCAGGGCCAGCACACCCGGCCCCTGCACCTGCTTGCAGGCACTTTAATATGCTGAGCTATTTGGCCAGCCCTCTATTCATTTAAACTTACCCAAAGAAATAATATCTGAAAATGATACATTTAATGAGCTCATATTTTTGAATGCATATCAAAATAGCATGAAATATTCATTAGCCTAACTAAAGCCTGCATTATACCTTTGTTTTGACATGAGAGCTCAGCCTTTATATTTTAATTTTAGTTTTTAATTGACAGATAGTAAATGGCCACATTTATCAGGTATAGTGTAATGTTTCAATATGCATATATGATATGTCATAATCAGATTGGGGCAAATTGCATATCTATCATTTCAGACATTCATCATGTGTGTGTGAGTGTGTGTGTGTGTGTGTGTGTGTGTGTGTGTGTTGGGAACATCCAAAATCCTCACTCTGCACAGATGGGGATGGATGTCACTGGTATAACAATGACCCAGCACAAGAAAGGCCCTGGGTTCAATTCCCAGTACCACAAAAGAACAACAAACCCAAACTTTTCTACCAGTTATTTTAAAAATACAGCTAATCATTGTCAACCACAGCTATCCTACTGTTGTATATAAAACAGAGAAATTCTTCTTTCTCTCTAACAGTATCCCATCCCCATTAGCCATCTTCTTTGTCTCCCCTCCCCGGCAAGACTTCATTTTCTTAGGATAATCTATCTATTTTACAAATTCATGAAGGAAAATTTTGAGAACAAGAAACTGTCCATAAGCACAAGGGACAAAGATTTGATCCCCAGCATCACATGCTGCAACAGCCCTGTCCCCAGGGTGGGCTAAGCCAGCCAGAGTCTGGGCGTAGTGGTGCACGCCTGGAATCCCAGAGTGGGGAGGCTGAAAATAGGAGGATCACCATGAGTGTGAGCTGCATAGTAAGACCCTGCAACAACCAAATACATGAAAGAAAGAAAGAAAGAAAGAAAGAAAGAAAGAAAGAAAGAAAGAAAGAAGCTGTCCATAAAATGTACAATTTGATTTTTTTACATGTTTATATCCATGAAACCATTATTACAATCAAGATGATAAATATATTTATCATCCCTGATACATTTCCTTGTATCCTCTTACTCCCAAACATAAATATCCTTTCCATTACCAGAGATAAGTTTGTATTTGTTAGAATTTCATATATATGGAATCATACAAGAAATATTCTTTTTTGAGATTGTGTATTGTTTCTATTGTCTTATCTATTTTTTATTCTCTTTAAAATAATAAAAAAAATCTAGAAGTAAAAAAACAAGAAATAGTCTGACAATATTTTTGTGTCAGGTTTCTTTTACTCTGTATATAATTTGGAAATATATGTTATTGTGTCTACCATTCCTTTTATTGCTTAGCAGTTTTCCTTGCAGAGATATACAGCATCTTGTTTGTCCATTCCTGTGTTGTTGGGTATTTAGGGGTTGCCAGTTTGAGGCTATAAACATTCATATTCAAGTCTTTATGTGGATAATAAAT